TTTCTTATTGTGTATCACAACGTTTATGGGAAACTCCAGAGCCACTGGGGCGGAGCCCGAATGTCAGATCAGAAAAAAAACTACTTAGTTTTCTTAATTAATACCTAAATAATCAGTGTACCAAATTTCTTCTAGGTAAATGGTAAGTAGAAGAATTAGTGATGAGTGAGTAAGTGAGGGCTTTGCATTTTATACGTATAAATTGATAAAAGAAATACCAAAGTTTCCTATACATAAAAAAAGAAGTACTATATCGCATTTCGTGCGGAATAAATATTTTAGTAGCAATTAGCCCTTCTGTAAACACAACAGATTATTAGCAGATGTTTGAGAACCTATTTGGAACGTATCTTCAATAGTTGTGGAGAACCATCTTACTAATATTATAAATCTGAAAGTTTGTGTTTTTGTGTAGCTCAATCACGCGATAACTACTGTACGGATTGTGCTGAAATTTGGCATGATGATAGCTAACATTCCCGATTAACATATAGGACTATTCTTATCTCAAAATTCCTTTCGGACACCACCCCAGTGGCTCTGCAGTTCCCCATGTTAACCTTATGAGTATTCATATTTAAAAGGAATTAAAGAATTTAGTAATCTGTTTCAACTTTACAAATTGGTTCTATAATATACAATAGCATTAAAAGTTATAAGGTTTCCAACAAGGTGCAGCACCATTATTATTTAATAGTAAACATTCTTTTTGCGTGGTAAACAATGTAACGATGAATCTTTTAATTTAAAAAAAAGATACTATGTCAAATGCAATTTTCAATTGTATATTAAGACTCCCCTGGTTCTTCTGAATTAAATAGACATGCATAATAGTAGGTTTGCTCTATATTTGTAATTTCTTCAGATTTTTTCTTAAAGGCCTGCAAACCGAAAAATAGGTTGGCGATTTCCCACTTCTAGCATTGGCCACTGCTAGGGTTAAGGAATAAAAATCAGCTGCTGTAACCAGTTGTAAATTTCAATTGTAGCAATAGCATAAATTGAAATTACTTATCTACTGATTTATTGAGCGGAGCGAAGCGAAGCGAAGAGAAGTATGTTATTTATATGGATTGCATCAACTTCAATGCAATCCATATATAAAGCCCATGAGCTTTTGAGAAAGCTACAAGTCACACCCCCACAAACCATATACTTAAAATGTTTGTCATGACGAGAAACCTCACACATAACAATCCATTATTTCATAAATTGCCCTTTAAGGTCGTAATTCATCTTATATAATAAAAATACCTCAACAGTACTTATTTGTTTGTTATTCTTTCAACTTATTACCTTTTTTATTTAAAACCAGGTGTGATTTTTTTGTATTACTGTATTCTGTTTTGCTTATTTCAGCTTAACTTAACCAATCAATAGTTTTATTATTACTTAAGAAGTCAAACGGGGTGAAGCCCGTGGGTAACTAGTCTTTATAACACTTCGGCTGAACATATTATATCTAAACTTACCAAGGTGTTTTTGTCTGATGTTTGGATAGTTATTATCAGTAGGGCAGGGTAAGGTTTTATTAAATTCTCGATGCTGGAAAAACTTTGTTGCAACATGCTACCTCGAATTGAAGCAGATCGTTTAGCATTCATTAGAAGTCATCAGTTAAAACTGAGACCAGAAATAATGTAGGTGAGCCTTAACGACGCAAATAGAGATATTTAAAATTATCTTCTAAAGTTTTCAAACAACTCTAAGATGTAACTTAAACTACTCGAATTTAAGCGTAATGTTTTCCTCTGCGTTATGTTTCATACTATACGGGTCATTGAGCCGCACGGGTTCTCTAGTACTATCTAATTACTGAAAATATGGTGTTGTTTTGAGAAATTTTACAAAACTGCAACATAGTGGCGCATAAATAAAATATTATTAAAAGCAGCAAAGATTAACAATCCATTGATTTAATTAATGGAAAAGGCGTTCCTGTCATCCCGCAATACGGCGGAGTTTGCAAAAATTATACTAGTTTTTGCAGGCGTTGTTTCGTGTGGTACTCAGCCATAACAATACAATAAGTGCCGGCTATGTATAACAAGCTTTATTTTTACATTAAATTTCCTTGTAACATCAAACTAAATTGTTAATGTAAGTGTAGTAAGATTATTAAAATTAATACAGTAGCATTTCTCAAAAATTTAAGTCGCCTTTTTAAAAAATGAAACTTAATTATGATATCGTTCTGGCCTAAAGTTTAATTATCGTTCTGATTTTAAAATATTTATTTAACATTACAAAGATTAAAGTAAACTATTCACCTACTATAGGAGGGTTTCGTATAATTATGTTCAAAAAATACAAAAGGATTTTTTTTATTCTAAGAAAATAAGCAGAAACTAGATTTATTTATTTTAGTAGCAAAAATGCTATACAAATATATAGCACGGGTTACTTTAGTATTAGTAATTAAAACCTTATCACATTTAAATACTATAATAATGATAGTATCAATAAACAAATGCATATTAGTTATATAAAGGAGACTTTGTCCTGACCGCACCAGCCTAACGGATGCGTTGGCCACTGGCAACAAGGTCTACCGGCAGCAAACACGACTACATCCCCTTCACCCGTCACGGAACTGGTTCAGCTCGGACATTTCGCACCACCAATCGTAGGTCAGGCTGGTGGTCGTAGACCTTGTTGGCCGCGGACCTTGGCGCGTCCCCACAACAGCTGACCAGCTGATTTACAGCCAGTGCTGCCAACGTAGTTCGCGCGCATACGACGTTGCCTGCATGTTACGCGCTCACTATTTCGTGCCTTCACGTTGCAAATCTGGAGTGAGACAAAGTAATTAGAGTGAGACAATGTTAACATTGTCTCACTGATGAGCGAATTGGCCACTTTGCTTTCTCAAATCAGTGAGAGAACATGTACATTGTTAGGTAACTGTAGGAAAAATGATTTTATTCGACCTTTTAAGTCTTCAATTCGATATGTGATGTGGAAAGCGAATAGGGACCTCTTGTCGGGAATTTTCGATTTTGAGTTATATATATATTTGAATTCCTTATTAAATTCCGAATCACTTGGTGCAAGTCCCATGTATCTACGATTTTTTTTTAAGTTATAAGACTTTGATATGTCGGTAAGGAAAAAGGGTAATTTTGAGAAAAACCATTTTGAAGATTTCAAATACGCATAAAAACAGTTTTTATCGTATTTATGAAACGATTTTGGTATCAAAAGAAAGCTTATAATGTCCTCTTTTGAGGCAAAAACCAATTTTTGTCTTAACTCCAAGTAGTTTTCATTTAAATAATTGTTTTATTTAAGCATGTCGTAAAAATCGCATTTCAGAAAAGGGACCTCTTGTCGGCCCTATGTTATTTCTCCATAATTAAGACAAGAAAAGGTACCTCTTTTCGGGACCGCAAAATTTGTGAGATATTTTGTTCTCCGTACACTATGAACTTTGTTGTAGTTCTCTTAATTTTGTCTAGAATGCAGGACAATTAATTTTTTGGACTAAAGTCTGTTTATAAAGTGAATATTAGAAATGGGACCTCTTGTTTTTATGGTGAAATAACATTGAGCGACAAGAGGTACCTTTTCTCAGACCGTGCAGAGGCTAACAAAATGATTTATTTCGACCTTTTACGTCTTCAATTCGATATTTTAACCAATACTGTCCTGTTCTATGATAAATATGAGGTATAACAATCGATAAAAACCCGAATTTCGATATTTTCGACCTTATTTACTTAGGGCCTATATCGGTGGTACTGAAAATTTTGCGTCGCCGACAAGAGGTCTCTTTTCGCTTTCCACATCCCAATTTTAACCGATACTGTTCTGTTCTATGATAAATAAGGTATAACAATTGATAAAAACACATTTTTAGTTTTGGTATTCCAACTTGCTAAAACACGCAAAACTTACAATTTGCTTCTAAAATATGCTTTGGTGAGTCGAAGGCTCAGTTGGTAGCATCACGGACTTCGGGCCCAAGGCAGTGATGTCGTGGGTTCGAATCCTGGTCACTGCCACTAAAATTTATCAGTACAGTTCACCTTCGTGTGTTCGTTCTGAATCGGCTCACCCCTTGCTTTGCTGGATACGTTCCACGCACAGATCTGTATAGTCTAGTGGACGGGCAAATGCAAGGTTGAAAGAGGCCGCCAACCTCTTAAAAAATAAAATACGGAAAGTAAATAAAAGAAACGTCTTATAACACTTAAAACATATATTTACGCGTATCCTGTTATTTACAAGACGGTAAATAAAAAAAGATGGTAAGTGGGGACACTCCAATCGCAGCATCAGACCCAATAGTTGAATGGCCGTTTTGTGAGTAACAGTATAAGCGTAAATATATGTTTTAAGTGTTATAAGACGTTTCTTTTTATTTACTTTCCGTGAATTTAATAACACGTACAATGCTAATCAAGAAGTTATCTTCTAAAATTAATTGCAAAATACCAGACCTTCATCTCTTTGGATGAGGGCGAGGGGGTTGACCCCCCAGACCCCCCTTGGGGGTACGGCACAGTACTATTCGCCAAGGGTGCCATATACTTTGGAATCTGACTAAGTCACTGGTTTGACTGTCCCTGGAAGCACTATACGTTATTAATGAACCATGATGCCTGGAGAATATGCCTTATAACTTTTAGATTAGAATCTTTACATGCCGTTCAGATTATGATTCATAATTTTATAATTATGATATAATTATAATTATTATTATAATTATGATTATAATTATTATTATAATTATGATTATGATTCATAATTTTATATGGGGAATTTGCGGTATTTGCCATGAAAAATCATCGCTGTAGAATTTGAAAACAATCTATTTCATGTCTCCTACTTCTGGAATGTAGATAGAAGTATGTTTAATCTATGGTAAGAGTTTATAATTAGATATTATTTTGTTGCGAGTTGGATTTGGATTGGATTGATCAAATATCTGAACTGAACTGAACTGAACCATGCAACCATGGAACCATATTAATTGTTGTTTGTTTGTGGAATGGAAAACCGTCTGTATTGATGCATTAAACTAATCTATTGATTCGTTTAAATCTACGTTTGTTTATATACCGAAAGTTTTTCAATTTAGGCCTAGTGTTTTTATAAATTTAATCCTGTTGCATTTGCATTATAGGTTAGGAAAAGTCGTTGTCTTCAATTGAAACCGAGCACCAATTCAGTTCATCGACCTTGAATAATAGTTGTGTTACTGCTCAGCCATGTTTTCTCTCGAATAGAAAGTGGGCCAAGTGCTGATGTTATACCGATAGAAGTAAACGTTGTGTGGATTTAAATATTAGTAATATTGTAGTATTGTGTTATCCCGTCATCATTTTGAAATTTAAAAACCAGCCTAATGGAAATGGACGCATCTGATCGAGGTATGTGTGTTCTACATTTTGTTCTTTTAAGGTTAAGCTCCAATAAGTTTTAGGCCTATAGGCCTACCACTTGATTTACACACATAAGTCTAGACTAGCCCAAGCATGATGTTATTGCATAGAACTAACCTATTATCTCTATTGTTTAGTTAGGTCTAACTTAGGCTACTAATAAATATGAGAACGCCTAAAAGCTTAGCCTAAGTTACCTCAACATAAAGACATAAGTTAGGCATCCTAAACTTAGGGCTAACTTACTGCTAGCCTTGCTACGAAACTAAAAGTTAAATTTTTTTATTGATTGAGGTGTAAATTTATTTTAAATGGCTACTTAACCCTCCAAGTGTCCATAGTTTAGGCCTTAATGTCCACCTATTTTTGGCGCATTTGCAAGGTTTTATTAAAACGGATCTGAGAAGCTTAAAACAATGTTAATTCTAATGTTCTATATATACCATTTTGTTTGGAAAATCATGGGCTTCAATATTATATATAAAACATAAGGAACATTTTTTCAAAAAAAAATTTTTTTAGGTAAAAAAAATATAATTTCGAAAATTAGCCTAAAAAAAAAAATAAGTTTGCGCTCAATGAAATTGTATAAATTATAGGCCTATAAATATTTGAAAATAGCCACTTTGTTCTAAATTTTATGAGGATTACAAATATATAATAATATAAGGAAGTAGATTTGCAAATAAATAAGTTATGGGCAAAAAACAGATTTCAGTACATAGCGTTTAGCTAAGAATGCATAGCCTAACCATAGCTAGGAATCTGGCTGATAATTTACATCAATATCACTACCTACTTCTTCAGGATCATCAACCAGCACTTCAAAACCACTTAAATCTTCTTATAATGCACCACGTATATCACTACTTTTGATTTTTAACACTAAAACAATGATAAACGTAATAAAACACATCAGTCATCGGTCCGAGGGTAACCTAGCTGTTTACAAATACACGCACGTCAGCTGTCTGCTACAATTACGATCGGCTCACAGAACATACAGCGCTGAGACAGACCTCTGGAGAAAGCTTAGAATATTACGGAAAGAACGATACCTAACTCGATCCAGTTCAATCCGATTCAGTCACTCATAGAGCCTTCGCCGTAAACGATGTCTGCGTGTCGAAAAATCGACAAGTAACACTACACAAAGTGTGCTGCTTGTCGAATTTTCGTCAAGTAACACTGGGAGGGTTAACGTACCGTTTTTTTTTTCATGCTGAAAGCTGAATGCCAAAATAAGTTAACATAACTTTTTAAGCTAAGTTACAGTAGGCTACAATAAGTTTTTGTTGAGTGGATTACTAAGTAAAGTGTGTATAAAATGAGAAAACATATCAGCCTACAAACTTAAGTGCATTGAGTGGTTTGGATGGTGGTTTGGGCGAGTCCCAAGTTCTAGCGGTGCCTGCCTAGGTTTTCTTAACCCTTGAAGGAAAGGAAAGCTGTTAGCTGTTTACATTCCTGTGATGCAAAATAAACATCGGTAAGTTACTTGTTTCGGGCCTTTAGTTATTTAAAGTTAAGTTTGTTTAAGTTTAAGTTAGCTCCGCATGTTAAGATTTTGTCCAAAAAATACCTAACCACCAAAGTGGTGTTGCCAGTCATAAGTTAAGTTATCTGACTCTAATTGACACGCCTTGTTCATGGATTTGCCCAAAACAATGTTTACAGCGAACCCTTCCCTTCACTTCAATCTGAGATGCGAGGTTGGCCAACTTGCAGAGGGTTTCTTCGCATGTGCCATATCTAGGTTTTTGTTTTATTTCTTAAGAATTCATCTAGGCCTATCGCATAACTTAACTTATAATCCTTATATATAATACGTGAAGGCGATCTACGAAACACTACCGGTACTCCTCCTCCGATAAGAATGGACAGATTTTTACAAATGATGTGTCAAAATTAAGTAGCCATGTTTTTTTTTTGTTTAGACAACCCTTTAATTAATTCCTGTATGTTACCGGTAATAAAAGTCTTCGGGCTTTGCCCCACAGGTCATCAAAATCCCAATGTATTTCTTGTGAAAAAATTTTGTTTAGGCTACTTTAACAGACAAATACTGAAATTTGTATTAATTACAGCTTTTCATAGTAACCGTACACATGATAGGCTACACACAAGAGCATTTGTTTTCAGAGTGAGTTCGTTTTCAGTTTTGACAACCTAAGTGGAGTGAGCGTTCGTTTTCAGAGTGAGTTTGTTTCCAGTTTCCAGGGCCTAACTGTATAACTAGAGTGGAGTGATTGATTACGGTACATTATCTTTGAGTTGACTCTTTTAAGTCATCGGAAATTGTGACTGTTATTTGTTTTGAAATATAACGCCTATAATACTTTGCAATTGCTCGAATTTAAGAAACATGTGCACTAGTTTTTAAAATTTACGGCAACTTAAAATTTGTTCTTTTTAAGATTCAAATAAATGGTCGCTTTTTTGCAAATCAAATCTCTGGCTACTGTAAAAAATGTAATCTGATTGGATTAACTTCAGGTTAGGCCTACTTTGGTTGTTATTGTTTTTCCTTTTGTACCTACGTTATTACTAGGCCTCTGAGCCTAATATGAAGCATGGATAAAATCTTTATATGATATGATTATCGAAGATAAATTGGGCTAACATAAGTTTCCAGCAGTCATAGTTATATATAGCCTATGCTACATGATTGAAAACATGCAACATAAACCTCAATAGGCTACATGTAGTTTTTAATGTGATTTTTTTTGTACGTTCACTATAGAGTTGTATGCAGACAAAGTTATGTTTTTTGTTTTACCAATAGGCTACATGGTTACTTTTTGTACCTATCCCAATTTGGCAATCAATCATTGAGATGGGGACACTCCCTATGAGCATGTATTTTAACACAAATATGAGTAAAGGATGATTGTAGAATGGTATGAGATGATCTGTGTAGCCTAGCTTTATTTCTGCCTAAGATCAGCTTTTTAATTCGCCAGACAGAATCATTTAGGCATATTTAAAGCCCAATGATCAGGAACAGCTAGGTCCAGTTTTGAAATCGAACCATTGTATGCCTAGGCTACTTGACTTAATTCCTGTTATCCCATGGGGATCGTAGAGCCGCCACAAACACCTTCCATTATTCTTGATTCTACTCCCCATCAGCTTGATTTACACCCCAGTTTTTTTTCCCTCTTCCTTGATTTCTTTGTCGACCGACCTCTTCGCGGGTGTCTCTTTTCCAATTTCCCGGAGGGTTCCACTCGAGGGCTTGGTGACTATTGGTGTAGCTTGGCCTTCTTAGCATATGGCCAATCCAGCCAAACTTTCTTTCCTCGAAGGACTCATTTAGGCCTACTGGGCTCTGGTTTGTCACTCTCATTGCTCTAACATTCTATATCCCAATTCTTGACCGTATTTTCATGCGAAAAGACTGAGCCATTTTGTCTGTCCGGTTTGTTTCATTTGTAGCGGTTTCAGTAGGCCTAATAGTTTGAATTTTAGAGAAAGCAGGTTATTTAGCTATCTCCGATCCTGATGAAGGGAGCCTTCTTTCTATGATCTCAGTCTACCGGGTTTTCTGTCTGGGCGTTCTCCCGTAGCCTTTAGGGTTTCCACCTTCCACAAGGCAGTGGGGTCTAGGCTATTCTGCCTCCTTCACCATATTGCTTTCTTCCCCTGTTAGAGCCATTGGCCAGTTTTCTCCTGTAGCCCTAGGTTGGGGTCCTAACAGGGCGCTACCATCCGGAGCCAGATGGACCCTGGTTTTTTTACCGGGGTTGTTACTCCTCCGACTTCTCTTCCCTACCACAATTGCAAAATAGGTCCCAGGCTTGCCACCGGCGTAGCAGAGTTATTGTATAGGCCTATGTATGGAAATAAAGTATATTCTATTCTATGTACAGTAGACCCCCTCTTAACTGACCCTAACGGGACCGGTCCTAGGTCGGATAGCCTAACTCCAAAGGTAGATTAAAACAGGCAACCCCTAAAAACTCAAAAAATGAAGTGCTACTCATTGACTAACGATAAGTCACACATTAAACCCAAAACCCAGTAGCCTAAAGTTAAGTACATTCAGTTGAAAAATTATTGTCGTAGGCAAGAGGCAATACAAATTCATATTTTAACACCCTTTGTAATATAGTAATATCAATTGATCCTTCAAATCTACCTTAATATAGTATTTTAAAACAAAAAATTAAAGATACAAGCAACCATTCCGTTATGAGACGGAAAGTTTATTTAAGGTCTGTTGAGTTTAGCGTATTGTTCCCATTGCCAATTGTGGGAGCAGAAATTCCGAGATTCCTAAAAATCAGCGGTTAAACCGAACTGCTCTCAAAACAAGGTCAGTTAAAACAAACTGCAATATTCTACGAGCGAGAATGGGTAATCCAATTATCAGTTAATGCAAGGTCGGATAAGAGGGGGTCTACTGTACACCTTGTACAAATACTCTAACTTGTTATTGCTATGTAATTGTTGCTTCATATCTACCATAGTATTGGTCCACAATTGACCGGATGTAGGTATGTATAGCAGTACCAACCTGTTTATAGCCATACATCGGACATCAAATGTCTACTTTCACTTTTAATGAGGACATGAATGTGCCTTTCAAATACCTTTACTACGGCCACCTGTGTATAGACTTTGCATCATATTAGGGACTGAGGAATCATTTTTGTCTTTTTTTCATAACAAATATTTTAAATCAAGTAGCTTTTCTAATGCCAAAACGCCGAATGTTAAGATGTATGGGATGAGACAATAATGAGTGACGAGTGAATGGGATGTAACTTAGATCAGCTGGCTCTTGAGCCAGTATTTATCTAAATCACAACGGACAGCGGAGTTCAATATTAATAATTAATCTTCTGACCTTATTTGTGAATCAGGATTGAACTGACCCTCCTGGTTACTAGGCGAGCATTTTATCTACTCAGCCAACCTGCTATTATGATAGGATATGTCGTTAAATGCCATTTAGGCTATTGAGTGTTTTTAAATACTATAGG